CTGAACTAGGGTACACAACTTTAACAGAAAAAAAAAATATCTCACAGCAAGTTTTCTTAAATAATTAAATTTATAACAGCATATACAGTGGGAGCAGCCCTGCAGAGAAGGACTTAGGGGTTCTGGTAGAAAAAAACTTGGACATGAACCAGCAGTGCATGCTTGCAGGCCAGAAGGCCAACTGTGTCCTGGGTTGCATCAAAAGAGGAGTAGAGGGAGGTGATTGTCCCCCTCTACTCTGTCCTACTCTGTCTACTCTGTGAGGCCCCAGTTGGAATTCTGTGTCCAGGCCTGGCACACACCGCACAAGAAGGATGTGGATGGATTAGAACAAGTGGTGAACAAAGATGATCAGAGGGCTAGAGCACCACTCCTATGAAGAAAGACTGAGAGAACTGGGGATGTTTTTCCGAAGACACCACTGCAGCTTTTCAATACTTAAAGAGGGCTTATCAAAAAGATGGAGAGAGAGACATTTTGCTCAGGCAGATAATACAGGACAAGGGGGAATGGTTTTAAACTAGAAGAGGGGAGATTTAGATTAGAGGTTAGGAGGAAAAACTTCACTCAGAGGGTGGTGAAGCACTGGCATATGTTGCATGGAAAAGTTGTAGATGCCCCATCCCTGAAGGTGTTCAATACCAGGTTAGATGAGACCCTGTTTTTTTACAAGGTTTATAAGTTTTTTTGTTTGTTTGTTTGTTTTTTGTTTTTTTGTTTTTCCCTCTTTGCATTTTCTTTTACTTACTTCAGCAAAAGTACTTCTTTCAAGTCTGCCTTTATCTCATCATACATCTATGATATAGGCCAATATAGTTTGATCGACCAATTAGGTATAGGACATCTGAGTTTATACTTGCTTTTAAATAAGAGGTACCCCATGATTTCAACATGTCAGTTGATCTCTCTGTGCCTAACTTTTCCTCACTATAAATGTGGGTGATATTATTTACACACTGTAGTATGTTATAAAAGTTATTAATACTTCTAAAGGTATTAAATATTATACATTTTCAGGTATTGCAGAAATATATTAATTTGCCACGTTTTCATGTGTGGGACATATGGTTCTGTTTAAAAAAAAAAAAAAAGACAAAAAACAACCTTGAGATCCAGCAGCAACGTGGATTCCACGTGTACAGGATCTCAGAACACTCTCTTCGTTGTTTGTTTCCCTGCCTCTAAGAATATGTAATGCCCATCTCTTGTTTAATGTCTCCTCTATTTGATACATTCCTGTTAGATCTGTTTCTACCAAAACGTGCCCCTCTCTTTGATTTGTTTTGTTTCTAGCTTTATTGTACCTTATCAGTAGCTGTGGGTTACCTATGGGCCTATTTTCAAGGAGCAATTATTTTAAAAGAGTTCAATTTATTTGAATGTGGGTTATTCACACAAAAAATTAGTAACTATTTATCCCCTTGACCTTTATCTTTCAATACCTCTGCTAAAACTCTGCATTATTGCTACCTAGGAACACCACAACTGACTTCCACTTTCCAATATCATTCCAAAATGATGTAGTAAAAATTGCTGCCTGTCAGTTCTAGACTGTCTTTCATTATTTTTATGACCTGCTTCAAGCTTTGAGCAGATTTATTATTGTTATTTATATTCAGTATCAGTTCCTTAGTATAATTCTCACATGAGAGGGACTGGAGATTCCTCTTTAGCAGGTCAAATTATTTTTCCTCATCTCCTAAGGGGAAAAAAAATAAAAAATAAAAAGATAAGAAAAGTTTAAACACAATGCTGATTTCTCTCTTTCTTTTCTCATCTACTGAGAATGTTCTCCTGGAATATGCCTATAAACAAACTTGTCATCCTCTTTTAAACTGAGTTTAAAATGTTCCTCTTTAACAAAAAAGAAGCTCAGTGAAGATCGACAAATGTTTTTATTTCAAATTATTTTAAATTTGTTATAAATGACATCTGAACTCAATTTGAATTTAGTAATATTTATAAAAGGAATATTTATAAAAGGAATGTTTATAAAAAGTATAAAAGCTATAAAAGGCAAGTAAATAGCGCTGGGTGTGCAGGGAGTCTACGCTCCACCAACACGCACACACGAACATCAAACATTCTAAATATATAGAACATTGCTTTTACATACTAAACCCGAGTATGCCTATACATACATAAAGTCATGAAAGGTAACAAACAATCCTTTAGGTTATACAATCAGAAAAAGTAACAAACAATCCTTTAAGTTCCATGACTTAACAGTCTCCATTTTTCTGATTACAAACAACAGTCTCCATTTTCCATAATTCCAGGGCTAGTCGTGTGAACAATATGTCTAGCTTTAAGTTGTCAAGCAACTCGGTCTTCGGGCCTTATGTATCCCGTTCTTCCCGGATCGAAGAAAAGCATATCCATCAAGGCCAGTAAGGCCTGGGTCAAAAGGCACGCCCAGGTCAGCAGGGGGCGTAACAGCAAAAGCCTTCGATGGCTGTAGCAGCAGAGGGGCCCATGGCGTAGCAGTCAGATCAGTAAAGGAGCCCGCAGCTCCCTCACTGTCTGGCAAACCACACGTTTCTGACTGTGGTCCCACAGGGCTCTTTAAGGCCTCAGAGACTGCTCGCCAGGTGCCGAGCAATCCCACTGCAACCTTGTCGTTTTTAGTTGCACAGTCCCACACCTTGACCTCAATTTGGTCCCATATTTCAGGATCATAAACTGTCCGATTGTTAAGAAGGAGAATAAGCTGTAAGGTTACCAGGACAGTCTTTATTCCTGAGGACGTATGATAACCCATAATGTGCAACTGCTTACCAGCCAGGGGCAGTTGTGTGCGCGGGTCCACTTAGCTTCTTCGCAGCTCCGGTGCACCTGTTTCCAGCGACTTTCTGTAAGAGCTTCTCTGAGCAGTTTGCTGAGTTTGGCCAAACCCATCTTCATGATGCAATCAATGTGCCTGTTCCCGTCCTGATCTCCGTTCTGCTAGCCTGTTCCTTTTCATTCCTTCTTTCTGCTTCTTTTATTGATGACATAACTTCATCGTGTTGCCTTTTTCTTTCATCTTGAGGGCAGGCTCCCCTCTTCTACCCTTCTCTCCACAGCAGTTCTTTTCAAAACAACTTTTCATTGGTCAAACAACTTTGAATATAGCAACAACAGCAAACACACAAAAACTTCCATGCCTTAACTGCTGGAGAACAAGAAACCTGAGACTGCACGGAGTCTCCTGAATCACCCTTCTTTGTTCCCTCTAAACTCTTTTACATTCCTGATGGCCTCATCGTTAAGAGTCTAATGTTATCATTAACCACGGGGCTTTCCAACCCCCATGGCCACACTCCCAAATCTCCCCCTTCTCTGTTAATATCAACCATTTTCTTGACACGAATTATCACTCCATATATAACAAATTCAAGTTGAGAATTTTCTAGTTGGAATAAGATCCATCTTTTTATCTTTCTCGACCCCTTCAGTAGCTGATAAAAATGTAAGTTTCCTTCAGTTCTCTCATGTCTTTGCATCTGTTGAATTTGCTGCAGTGATGGATTTGCAATTCGTTTTACAACTAGGGTAAGAAGCCATTGCAAAGAATTGGGGCAATCTCAATAGTAATGAAGAAGGGAATAGAGAGATTACCTTCTTCAGAGCCTTATCCTCTTTCTATAAAAGTTCCCTGTTCAGAGGTATGTGAAAGTGAATCTGTGATCTTATCTCAGGTCAGACATCTCAGAGCATGAAAACAGTGCAGATTTTAGACCCAAACAATCCTCTCAGATAATTGTAAATCGCTGATGTCAGGTACAAGTAGAGACTCTACTACTTTGATAAAGAATCAGGAAAATAATCGACAACACTTTCAAACATATTTTTTTTGTCTTTTTTTTTTTTTTTTTTTTTACTAGAAGATTTTACTAGTTGAAATTTGTGTCTTCTATATTAGTCTGTTTGCCTCGTGTCTATTAGGAAACAAACAGAAATAACAACTAATGTTACAGAGAAGGTTCAGAAGAACACCCTTGCCTCTCCCTCCCCCAATCCTTCTCTCCTCCCCCACCCCCCACTCCATCCCCCAAATAATTTAATTATTGAAAGGATATGTGGGAAGGGAGATTTGTATAGAAAATGATGAGGTCATGAACGGGAAAAAAAAAAAAAGAAAAAAGATTTCTAAAGTGAGGTCTGAACTGAAAGAAGTCAGAAGAATTCACATATACTGTGGAATGAATCATCCTTACTAATGCACTCTAAACATAACAGCAGCTGGCCCCCATGGATTTTTGGACAAGCTTGACTGACTGAGAGTTATTTCTACCTGCAACATCCTGGGCATTATGGTTACGGTGCACTTACCGAAGAGAAAATATATTTATTGCACAATGTGAAGCCATCTGTTGTAACAAGCCATAGTGCTGGTTTGACAGAGAGGGAAACACGTATGGGACATGTATGGGATGCTAGTATATCGTAATGAAGGACATGAGAGTTAAAACAGTTGAATCCCTAGGATGTACACACCAGATTATTGACTCCTCTTATGTCTGCAGTTAGAAGTATTAATACTGTCAAATTAAAACAAGCCCAGAAAATTTCTGGAAATGAAAGGAAGACAACTGGAGAATAATGGCCAAAACTGTAAAACTCTAAAAGTTAAAACACTTCAGCTATGCTCAGAAAACATCTGCAGGAGCTAAATCTTTTGGATTCCCCAGCTGTATTTTGTCCACTCCTGTCTCTGATAAGTGTTAATAGACATAAGTAGAAATAAAGAAATAAAGGGTGCCAGAAAGCTATCTTGACTTCACTTAGTAGTAAGAGCATCTCAATGGGAAGACAAGGTGATGTAAAAGAGATGTAAAAGGTATCTTGTGTCCAGAATTCTCTGCATACCTATTCCTATGCTAATATCTTCTCTTATCTTGGAAAATACCTACTTTTTTTTTTTTTTTTTTTCGATTTTCTAATTCCTTTCTGTGTAACACTCAGAAAATCTCAGAGTTAATCTGTGATTTAATTTAATTTATTTTTTTTTTCTACAGAGAGGACAGACATAAAAATGGAATCGCACTGACCAGCACATGTTGGATGACCATATCTAATACTTGTAAACTGCTGTGAATGAAAAAAAAAAAAAAGTTGAAAGGAAACTACAATGAACATGGTCCTGTGCCCACTGTACCCAAAGGAAAAATTACCATTTACTTTAATGACACAGAATTAGGTCCTATTTCTCACTGACAACCACTGTTTTAAATGTAAATTTTTTCCATTTTACTCACATGGAAAACTTAAGGGTGGGCTCAGTTACTAGTCATCAAGAAAAGCAAAATCCACACTTTATGTTTAAAATATATTTTTTTCTGTGATTATGTCCCTTTTTTATTCATTTGCCATGAATATTAGAGTTAATAAGTTTCATTAGGAAGAGCATAAATTCAGCACACATTGCAAATTATTTATGAAAAACAGATCTCATTTTCACAGTCTTGATTGTTTACATCATGATTTACATGCATGTGAACTCTTCACCAGAAAGACTGTGAACTTTTTCCAGCTGTATCATTATTCCTTAAGGCATTTTTTCTCCCTATTCTTTACTTATGGCTTTAGATTCCACAGGTAGTCAAATTAATGTGGAGGAGCAGCCTTTTGTCCTTCCAGACAAACAGTTTTGCAGATTGTTTAGAGCTCTGAAATGATCATCAGTTCATCAAAGTTCACTGACAAGTCTTTTGATGCTTCATCATTGATATTTCATGACAAGTTGTTATCATAGGTGTATCATAATAATCCAACTTATTCCATTACCATAGACCCTCTGAACAAGGACTGAAGAACATAGGAGCTTCTAGTATCAACAGGAGCCATTTCTTTGTGCTGAAGACTTGTATTTTCTCTTTAGTAGAATTGACTGTATCTTCTCATGGCTTAATATCTAGAACATGCAAAGAAGTCCAGTCTTATTTTGCTAGGAAAAAGTTTGAATTTGAATTTAAATAGCAGCAGTCACCTTGAAATGCCCTTATGAATGTCATAAAATAATTAATAATAAAAAATACCATTGTATACAGTGGTGAGTTGAGAACAAAAGAAAACAAGATTTAAAAGCTCATTTATAACCTCTGAAAAAAGTTAAAACAATTTACATTGGCTTCCTTGGACATAAGGGCTCTAGGTTGTTGTCCAGCCACATTTCTTGCTAAAAAGTCCTTACCTGAATTCTATAATTTGAGGCTTAGACATTGCTTTTATCACTCATCAGAGACATTCAAAATAATTAAAGTATTTCCAAGGAACCCTAGGCAGACAAACACCAAGTTGTGGAGAATTGAGAGGGAAACTGTTGGAAAATTCCAGTGATTTATCATCAAGTTAATGGGCAAGGGATTTGATTGGCAGTATCCCCAAAAGGTGAGAAATGCAAGAGAAAACAAATGTCATTGCGTGTTAAGTAACAAACATGAAAGTTGTCATATCATAATTTTTCACAGGGATGGGTTTGGCTGCTGCTTGGCATCTGGTATATAGTTAAATCTGCATGTTATTATATCTTAATCAAGCAAATCCAAATGGAAATAAACAAATAGAAATAAACCAATTCCAAATTCTTTAGAAGACTCATTTCACAGAGTTCTGTTTCTTCCTGAACTGAAGATGTCATATTCCTCACTTATTTCCTTGTCCTTACTGATTATTCCAGACCTTTGTATAACCCTCAAAGCCACACAGTTTATAAAACAGAAGTGGCATTACATATTACTCTGTGATGAAAAATATATATAATTTAAAAAAAAAAAAAAAAAAAAAAAAGGAAGCAACAATGCTGAGACAATTATTATACCCCAAGAAAACAAAACCAAGTAGAAAGAAGTAATTGCCTAGAAATAACTCATATTTAAATTGTTGTATGCCAGGTATTCTCTGCAATCCTGAATCACACTTTCCATTCATTTTTGTGTTGGTGCAGCTCTCAAAGAAAAACAATATTTCACTTTTCCATGCTGTATTCAAAGTTCATATTGGAAACAAATGTGAACCATCTTTAGAATAACAACCTTCTGTTACTTTTTCCATAAGTTTTTTTTTTTTTTTTCCTTTTCCCTTTTAAGTATGTAATTCCTTCTGTCTGGTTTTATTAAGTGTGTGAAAAGGTAGGCAGGCTGCCCAGATTTTGGAAATGAAAGTTCTCTGAGTAGCTCAGGTGGTTGCATGAAATCCAGAAGCTGAACTGGCTAAGAAAGAACATATGACAGTATGATCCCATTTTGTATAGGAAGAAAATGAGGACGTCCTATATGCTGATATCTCTGCAAACTCCATTCTGAGGTCCACTTACCATGGTGATAAAATAAGGAGCAAACTTCATGGCAAAAATTAGATAATCTGTTTAGCATGCAATGGAAAAAGAAAAAAATCATACAAAAATCACAGTATAGCTCTGTTTTCTAAAAATGAGGTTTCTTTGTATGACACTGGAAATATGAATTATGTACACACTATGTCTACATATGTAACATCATGTTCAGTTTCTTTGCTATTCCCAGATACTCTTAAAAATAAGATGGCAAATTAGATAACATTGGCTTAAATTGAAAACACTGGTGACAAAAATCAACAGACCAAACAAATACACCACCAAACTTCTTGTGCCAGGCAAAAGATATAGCACTTTGTGGCAATCAGCCAAAACCAGACCTGCCGTCTCTTCAGTCTACTGCAAACCTTTTGGAAGGAAGGCAATTTTATTTTATTAATTTACAATCATAGAATGTTTTGGATTGGAAGGGACCATTCTTTTTGAGACTGTTCTAATACATCTATGTCCTTTTTGCGCTGGGGCTCCAGAGCTGGCCACAGCTGGGGGTCTCACAGGAGCAGAGTAAATACGAAGTCACCTCCCTTGACATGCTGGCCATGCTTCTTTTGATACAGCCCAGGATACAGTTGGCTTTCTAAGCTGCAAGCACATATTACCTGCTCATGTTGATCTTCTCATAAAACACCACCTCCAAATCCTCTTCCTCAGGGCTGCTCACAATCCATTTTCTGCCCAGCCTGTATTTGTACTTGGGATTGTCATGACCCAGATGAAGGACCTTGCACTTGGCTGTGTTGAACTTTGAGGTTTTCCACAGGTTCGCTTCTCAAGCCTATCAAGGTCCCTCTGGCTGTCATCCCTTCCCTCCAGCATGTCGACCCCACCACACAGCTTGGCAACCTTTCTGAGGGTGCACTCAATCTGACTGTCTGTGTCACCAACGAAGACGTTAAACAGTGCCATTCCCAATACTGACCCCTGAGGAACACCACTTGTTACTGATTTCCACTGGGACATTGAGCCATTGACTGGAACTCTCTGAGTGTGACCATCTAGTCAATTCCTCACCCACTGAGTGGTCCATCTGTCAAATCTACATATCTCTAGTCTAGAGACAAGGATATCATGGGGAACAGTGTCAAAGGCTTTGCCCAAGTCTAGGCAGATGATGTCAGTTGCTCTTTTGTTATCCACCAACACTGTAACCTTATCATAGAAGGCCACCTGATTTGTCAGGCATGATTTGCCCTTACTGAAACCATGTTGGCTGTCACCAGTCACTTCCTTATTTTCTATTTGGTTTAGCATAATTTCCAGGAAGATCTGCTCCATGGTTTTGCCAGGCACAGAGATGAGACTGACTGGCCCGTAGTTCCCTGGGTCTTTTTTCTCTTTTTGAAAATATGGGTTATGTTTCCTCTCTTTGTCTCTCTCTCCATATATATTTACATGCACATATATATAATTGTTTTATTTTATTATCATTTTTTGCCTTTTTATTTCACTTAACTGAATCATAGATTCTAATAATGTTTAACATGTCAAAATTACAAAAGGATTTTTTTAACAAACCACACACACACACACACACAAAAGAAAAAAAAAAGAAAAAAGGAAAAAAAAGCAACACAGTTTAAATAAAACCAAATGCTTGATCAAAAATAATGAAAAATTACCACTTTTTCAGTTCATATTTCTGGGTTACTCTAGTTATTTCTATCTGATTTCTATATCTAAGTAGCTGGGCCATTCACATGTCCAGTTACAGAGTTCTCATAGCCTACATTCTACTGTCATTCTTTCTTGACTTTTGAGGTCTAAGCTGTGGCATTTTACTGGCTCCATCATTGAACTGCAGACCTATCCTGTATTTTTACCATTTCTGTCACAGACTCAGTTAATGAAACTGATGAATAGTATTGAGAATGAAGATAATGGCAACGCAGAATAGCAACACTACTATTGCATATATCATTGTTCATCATTCATCTTACTGAAGATTCTACATTTGAGTTATTTGCTTTTCAAAGATCCTAAAATCAATGAAAGGAATTTTAATTTGCTTCCTCCTCCATCCTTAACACCTTAATTCTATTTGTGATTCAAATAAAAGCTAGCACTATCACTTAACTTCATTTCTCTCCTTATCAAGGCATCCAGGTTCTGAGGTGATTATCCTTATGTAATCTTAATTCATGATATATGACAATGTAGATGTGGTGGATTATTATACAAGTGATTGATACTTTGGTATTCGTTACAGTCCTTCACAGAAACAGAATTAAGTGTTATATATCATCAGAGGAACAGCTGCAGAACTGACCCAAAGCTTCTCTAAGATATCATAATGAAGAGTACCCATCAATGTGGTGACTGAATCCAATGGGAATGAAACATCACCAGAATTTTAACATCATTCAAAGACAAATTTTTAATAGTAAGGGCTCTATGAAATTCATTGTGTTTGTTGTTATGTATTATGTATGGTTCCATAAGGCATGTTCATAGTTCATAAAGATATACCTATTCGTGTACATACATACTAGTCTGATTCTAATAAGACAATAAAACTAGAAACACAGATGTTTTTTGAAAACCTCATCCATGCACTTACAAAATTATTTCAGAAAACAAAACAATATAATCTCTTTATTGATTAATACCTCTCAGCAAGACTCATACATTCCACAGATTGTGAATTCTTGAGGCATTTAACAGACGTCTTTATGTCCACATATCCAGAACTAAAAAAAAACAACTTCATTAATTAACAGTAAGACAATAACAGTAAGTAAATAATAACATTTTTCACATAACTAGAGGTTTCATACTGATTTCTAAAAGAAATATTACAAAAGTTGTTAAAGACCTGAGAGTAATGGAAGAGAGCAACCTACCCCTGTCAGATCTGAAGGTTCAGCAAGGCTAGTGATAAATTTGGATTAAATTTGAAATTACTTTTGGTAGAATCATAATTTTTATGTCTTACAGAAATGTTGCAACAGTTCATTTTGACATTTCCTCAAAAAAGTGTATTGACATTTTTGAGACATTATTATTTTAAAGTCTTGTAACAACAGACAAGGCCAACCAAAGGGAAGATTCACAAACCAACTAGATGAATTAGCCCCTTTTCTATCCAGATACCCGAATCATTAAAGCCATGAGATACACAATGAGGTGGCTTGATGACTTTTTAAAAGATCCTGTCATCTATAAAGGAACATCATGAGTAAAAGTCCAAATATATAGGTTGAAAATCATTACTGGAAAATGATACTGGAATCTCACAGAAGCAAATGACCTAATACTGAGTAGGAGATGTTACACAGGCTGAGAGTTTATTATTAAGGGTTTTGAAAAGCAAAGAAAAATAGGCTGTGTTGGTTTGATAGCAAAATAGCAGCCAAGATACAAGGTGTGACACAGTTAAAACAGGAAGCAAAGATAATTGTCTTTGCAGAAGCCTTTGGATGGAATAATTGTCAATTATATCAGTACACACATACAACCAAAGATTCAACTGTAAAGTGACAGCAATAAGTGATAACTAGTAGAGGCGTGTATTTTCTTAATAAAAAAAGTTTAGTATGGACCGAGAATCATACACAAGCAACATAATTGCATAATTGCATGTTTTCCTCTATTATCAGTGACAGATAACTTTCTTTTCTATCCTTCCATCTTTTTCAGTACTAAATTTAAATACTACTTCCAATAAAACTTTGTGAAAGTGTTTTGAGATTAAATGCCAAAACATGCAATATATACTAAGTTTCAGTATCCATTTTCATTAATACCTACTAATCTGGTTTTAAAATATGTCAAAATTGCAGAAGGTTGGACTGGGATGAAATTACATGCCTTCTAAGTTTGGGGTATTTAAACTTAGTCATGTGCTTTGAGGCATTATATAAAGCCCTAGTGAAATTCAGACACAAGATTTTGTCTAAACTTAATTTCCAGCCCTTGTATCTACTTTCCTTGCTTGAGATCAAGTTAGGTAGAAATTTCCATTTCAGCATCAACAGTGTAGTTAATATGACCAGTTTATGCCACAATAATAATATAACTTCTCCAAACGAAAACTGCAAGCTTAATATTCTTTATTTTCACAGAGGCAAACTTGGCGATTTGCATGGAACTTCACTTACTGCTTTTGTTTGTTTAAGGTTCAAAGCTTGAAGCCAAACTCCAAGGTAGGAAATACCATATGAATCAAAACAAAAGGGAATTTTCATCCCTCCAGACAGAAAATATTGGCTTTTTGGTCAGGTATAATTAC